GGCATTAGGGCATGAGGGGATGAGGGCATGAGGGCGTGAGGGCGTGAAGGCATGAGGGCATGAGGGCATGAGGGCATGAGGGCATGAGGGCGTGAGGGTATGAGGGCATGAGTGCATGAGGGCATGAGGGCATGAGGGCGTGAGGGCATGAGGGCATGAGGTCATGAGGGCATGAGGGCATGAGGGGCTGAGGGCATGAGGGAATGAGGGCGTGATGGCGTGAGGGCATGAGGGCATGAGGGCGTGATGGAAGGAGGGCGTGAGGGCATGAGGGCATGAGGGCGTGAGGGCATGAGGGCATGAGGGCATGAGGGCATGAGGGCGTGAGGGCATGAGGGGATGAGGGCATGAGGGCATGAGGGCGTGAGGGCATGAGGGGATGAGGGCGTGATGGAATGAGGGCGTGAGGGCATGAGGGCATGAGGGCGTGAGGGCATGAGGGCGTGAGGGCATGAGAGCATGAGGGCATGAGGGCATGAGGGCATGAGGGCGTGAGGGCATGAGGGGATGAGGGCATGAGGGTATGAGGGCATGAGGGCATGAGGGCATGAGGGTGTGAGGGCATGAGGGCATGAAGGCATGAGGGGAGGAGGGCATGAGGGCGTGAGGGCGTGAGGGCGTGAGGGCATGAGGGCATGAGGGCATGAGAGCATGAGGCCATGAGGGGATGAGGGCATGAGGGCATGAGGGCATGAGGGCGTGAGGGCATGAGAGGATGAGGGCATGAGGGTATGAGGGCATGAGGGCATGAGGGCATGAGGGTGTGAGGGCATGAGGGCATGAGGGCATGAGGGCATGAAGGCATGAGGGGATGAGGGCATGAGGGCGTGAGGGCGTGAGGGCGTGAGGGCATGAGGGCATGAGGGCATGAGGGCATGAGGCCATGAGGGGATGAGGGGATGAGGGCATGAGGGCATGAGGGTTTGAGGCCATGAGGGCATGAGGGCATGAGGGCATGAGGGCATTAGGGCATGAGGGGATGAGAGCATGAGGGCGTGAGGGCGTGAAGGCATGAGGGCATGAGGGCATGAGGGCATGAGGGCGTGAGGGCGTGAAGGCATGAGGGCATGAGGGCATGAGGGCATGAGGGCGTGAGGGCATGAGGGCATGAGTGCATGAGGGCATGAGGGCATGAGGGCGTGAGGGCATGAGGGCATGAGTTCATGAGGGCATGAGGGCATGAGGGGCTGAGGGCATGAGGGAATGAGGGCGTGATGGCGTGAGGGCATGAGGGCATGAGGGCGTGATGGAATGAGGGCGTGAGGGCATGAGGGCATGAGGGCGTGAGGGCATGAGGGCATGAGGGCATGAGGGCATAAGGGCGTGAGGGCATGAGGGGATGAGGGCATGAGGGCATGAGGGCATGAGGGCATGAGGGGATGAGGCCGTGATGGAATGAGGGCGTGAGGGCATGAGGGCATGAGGGCGTGAGGGCATGAGGGCGTGAGGGCATGAGAGCATGAGGGCATGAGGGCATGAGGGCATGAGGGCGTGAGGGCATGAGGGGATGAGGGCATGAGGGTATGAGTGCATGAGGGCATGAGGGCATGAGGGTGTGAGGGCATGAGGGCATGAGGGCATGAGGGCATGAAGGCATGAGGGGATGAGGGCATGAGGGCGTGAGGGCGTGAGGGCGTGAGGGCATGAGGGCATGAGGGCATGAGAGCATGAGGCCATGAGGGGATGAGGGCATGAGGGCATGAGGGCATGAGGGCGTGAGGGCATGAGGGGATGAGGGCATGAGGGTATGAGGGCATGAGGGCATGAGGTCATAAGGGTGTGAGGGCATGAGGGCATGAGGGCATGAGGGCATGAAGGCATGAGGGGATGAGGGCATGAGGGCGTGAGGGCGTGAGGGCGTGAGGGCATGAGGGCATGAGGGCATGAGGGCATGAGGCCATGAGGGGATGAGGGCATGAGGGCATGAGGGCATGAGGGCGTGAGGGCATGAGGGCATGAGGGCATGAGGGCATGAGGGCATGAGGGCGTGAGGGCATAAGGGCGTGAGGGCATGAGGGCATGAGGGCATGAGGGCGTGAGGGCATGAGGGCATGAGGGCATGAGGGCATGAGGGCATGAGGGCGTAAGGGCATGAGGGCATGAGGGCATGAGGGCGTGAGGTTAGAGATAGGTTAAAACATAAACCCTCATGCCCTCATGCCCCCATACCCTGCCAAATCTCATAGACCCGATAGGTTAAAACATGGTAGGGGGGTGGGGAATGGTATAATTTAATGGAAATGTGAATACATATGGTATTCACTGTATTTGTACAGAAAGAAAAATGCGTCAGCCGGTACGGTCAGCATGCACGCTTGTGTGTAGGTACAAGGCGGAACTGGAACTCTGAAAGCTCCCAAATTATGTGGATCGGAAATGTTATAACCTAGTTTTAATGAAGTAGAAGGCCTAATATAGTGGACTGGCAAGAATATGGTACTAACTGCCTCTCTACAATCATAAGTAATGCGCTGGTCTGTTTTGTCGTTATGCGCGCCTGTTGTGCAGGTACCATGTACGTCTGGAATGTCTATATCTGTCAAATTACATACATCTGATAGGTTAAAACATGGTAGGGGGGTGGAGAATAGTATAATTTAAAAGAAATGGGTATACATATAGTATTCACCGTATTTGTATAGAGAGAATAATGCGTCGGCTGGTAAGGTCATTATGCACTCTTGTTTGTAGGTACAAGGCGGAACTGGAACTCTGAAATCTCCCAAATGATGTGGATCAGAAAGGTTATAACCTAGTGTTGTTGAAGTAGAAGGCCTAGTCTAGTGGATTGGCAAATATATGGTACTAACTGCATTTCTAGAAACATAAGTAATGCGCTGGTCATTTTGGTCGGTATGCGCGCTTGTAGTGCAGGTACCATGTACGACTGGAATGTCTATATCTGCAAAATTACATAGATCTGATAGGTTAAAACATGGTAGGGAGGTAGGGAATGGTATAAATTTAAATGAAATGGGAATACATATGATATTTGTTGTATTTGTACAGAGAAAATAATGCGTCGGCCTGTAAAGTCAGTATGCACGCTTGTGTGTAGGTACAAGGCGGAGCTGGAACTATGAAATCTCCCAAACTATGTGGATTGGAAAGGTTATAACCTAGTGTTGTTGAAGTAGAAGACCTAACCTAGTGGACTGGGTGGGTGGGGAGCATGTGACGGAGGGCAGAGGCTAAGCAGGAAGCAGTGGGCGTGTGCGTGTGCCCTTCTCCACATGTATGGTGTAATGCAATTGAGCTCCCACCCACCCTTCCACCCGTGCTTGCATGACCACTGACTCCAATCCCTGACTCCCTCCTCATGGCCAATCTTGCACATCTGCACTACACTCACCACCACCTCCCGCAGCAACAACTGGTATGATGGCAGCAGACAGCAACGTAGGTAGACGGGGTGATGGCGTGGGACTAGGGTGGCATGCTGGCGGCATGCAGGAGATGAAGACTTGGATTCGAGGTGAAATCATATAAGTGTGCTGTGCACTGCAGTGGGGCGAAGCAAAAAGCTCGCCCTCCTTAACGCTTGTGTCACAAGACCATGAGAAAAAAAAATCGATCTTGGTGGGCCCTAGGACAGTTCCCACTGGGGAACCTGCTCGATACCATGAGAAACTTAGAACGAGAATGGATTGACTAAGGAATGAAATTGATACAAATATGAAACCCTAGAATTGTGTACCCCTTAGTATCTAACCCGCTACAGCCTACACAGGCTAGATCATATACCGTATTCTCCCAGATATAGGATCCTCCCGAAAAAAAGACCCCCGGGACTTTTGAACGGTACTGGGACTCTTAATATGTAGCACATGTGAGAGGACCCCCCTTTTGCTACAAAACATTTTTAGACCCCCCTTTTCTGTATATAGTAGTTAAATATAAATATGCGCGTCAGCTTTTAGAGGCACAGAATCCGAAATTTGACGCATCATTTGTGTCAGAATTGGGTTCTGACACACCAATCATGTCGGACACGAGATCTGACGTTTCTGACGCGCCGCTCGCGCGAATTTCGAGCATGCGAGATTTTTCGGTTCGAACATAAGACCCCCCCCCCCCCCCCTTTCAAATTCGGGTGTACACCCCTAAATCGCATAACTGTACTTGATTAATAAGTGTACCCGGGTCTTATACAACTCGTTCCGATTAAATGTTCACCCTAACCAATTTGCCTCTATTTTAGGAAAGTCCCCCGCGTCTTATATCCGGGAGAATACGGTAAGTTTGACAAATCTGACTCACATCCAGCTCCTGACAGCTCCTGCTGACTGGACCCGCATCCAGTGCAGGGTCCGAATGTGAAGGGTACCGAATCTGCAACATATCCGCCTGCTAAAGTAAAAATCGTTACAACGTTTTGAACACATTTCAAATTTTAAAGTTTACGTGCGCTTATAATAAAACAAGTTTTTTCAAGGGGTGCGCTTATAATCGAGGAGGGGATATAAGCGCCATATGCCAATTAGAAGCGCCAGGCGCTTATCCTAGGGTGGCGCTTATATCCGGGGGGAGACGGTACCGGTATGTACAGTAGTCTTGCTCACATAAATGAACTTTTATGCCACGGCACGACCGACAATAATATATACATCATAATAGTTCTCTTGTTTGTTGTGCATTTGCTGCGCATGGTACAGTTGCATTGAACTATCCTTTCTACGGGCTTGCCATTCGAATATTCCACCTAGTACTTTTAGCACCAGCACCTCACCATCACGTAATTTGGTTCAAGAATGCACTAGTAAAAAAAAATGTGAGTTCAGTACGAGTCAAACATTATGGCGAATGAGAGGGAATGGCATTTATGCAGATAAGATATCCAAGAAAATGCCTTCCCAGGTCAGTAGCCAATGCAGACCAGCCAGCAGCACTGCAAACCGTAAACGGCTCTGGCACTGCAGAAAACATGGCGTCACTGGAGCAAACCAGGTATGTAGTTGCAGCAAAGTGGCCATTCAGCTGGTGGGACAAGTGGACAGCATCTAGCCAGTGCAAAGGAAGCCAAAGCAGTTGGCAAAGTTGTTCCCAACGCATTGCAGTCCGCTGCAGCGCCAGTCGGTGGGACACATGACAGGCGAGGCAGTGGCGCACAGAACATCTGCAAGCACAAGCACGAGCACAGGTACAGGTGGGCGGGGCAAAGAGAGGGGAGAGTGAGGGGCGAGGGGAGGCATTGCAGAAGATGGCACGCCACTTACAGGTGTACCAATGGCAGCCTACGTTGGCAGATACGCGTATCACGTATAATACACTAGCGTATTATACGCTGGGTATATACGCCATACGCCATGGCTGGCGTACAGCTGATACGCTAAAATACGCTGGGCGGGCAGGAAAAAACTTTTTCCCGGGCAGATTTCGCCCTCGAACTGTAGGGAGTAGGGGTCGCCATGGCAAGGAAGTACTAAAGCTAGGAGAGTTTGAGCTCGACGAGAGTCGGACGAAATGCAAGATGAGAAATGCGGGATTGAATGAAAGAGGAGCTGTTTAGGGATTGAGATGTTCGAACGAGTGAAAGGGGGGAGGTTGGGTTTGGGAGGTTGAGAGGGGTGGTGTGTGGTTGGGGATGTGGGAGGGGTTGAATTTTGAATTTCGAATTGCAGACAGGAGTTGGGCTCTGTGTGAGGTCGAGGGTTCAATTCTCGCTGTCGCAAATTCTTGCAATTTTTAATGGAGTTTTTTTTTTTTTTTTTTTTTTTTTTTTTTTTTTTTTTTTTTTTTTTTTTTTTTTACCGGGCTGCCTCGGCGTATTTTAGGATTTCCAGGCGAATTAGCGTATTGCGTACATACGCTAGCGTATATACGCAATACGCCCACCCCCCAAGGGTGTATCTGCCAACGTAGATGGCAGCAGCACCCTGCCCTTGCGCACCCCACACTCACCAACGCAAGCCATCGGCAGCGTGGTGGCCCCAACAGCGTTGGGCGTGCCAGCCGCGAAGGGCGCAGAGGCGTTGACGGTGCAGATGCCACGGCCGTAGCACAGCATGCCCTGCGCCGTGTCGGAGAGGCAGAAGCTGCACCCCGTCGTGCGCTGCACCGTGCCCTTGGTGGTGCACCCGGTGACAGCAAGGAAGCAGTTGTTGTTGGCGCCGCATGATGTGGCGGAGTTGGTCGGGAAGGAGCCCGAGAGGAAGTTAAAGCCCACGTCGATGTCCTTGAGCCCCGCCGCTAGTGGTGGCACGCGGTATGTGAGGTAGTTGTAGGACATGCCGCTGGCAGGAGGGCAGAAGGAAAAAGGGGGTTGGGGGAGGGACGGATGGATGAGAGAAGGATGGAGGTGCCGTGAAGGCAACCTATTTGATGGCACAAGAGTTGACACAGAAGCAGCGGTCAAAAGGGGTTGGCAGTTTGCTAAGGAGCAGACACGTGCATGGCAGCATGGAGGTGGCGCTTACAGGCGCGTGAGCTTGGGCATGGCGACGAGGCCAGGAGGCAGACTGCCGTAGAACCAGTTGAAGTCCAGCAGGCTGCGGCATGCACGTGACCAACACGCACAGCATGGCCCACACGCACAGCATGGCCCACACATACACACATATTCATACACAATGGGTTGCAGAGGGAGGACAGAAAAACGGGGTCAGTTGGCAAGGCGAGGTGGTGTGGGAGAAAAAGCTAGACGGTGGGAGAAAGAGGTGATGCAAACAATGCATTGCGCTGCTGCGAGGTTGGGCGGCGACTCACAGCACTGCAAGGTTGGGCAGCGATGGAATCTTGCTGGCAAACTCGTCCAGACGCGCCCTGAAGAGGTTCGACTTGAGCGAGCTGCCATGCACACGCCAGTGACACACGCAGGGAGGAGGGTTGAAGTGAAGGTATAGATTGGTGGTGGATGCGAGTAGGGGGCAGCCAGCTGACGAGCCAGCATGTGCATGGCCAATCATGGAGCGGCAAGCGAGCACGCTCAATCACACCACTTGCTCCAGCATGCGAGTGCGTAGGCAAGAGTGAGTGCTCAGGGAATGAGGAGTGCTTGAAATTCTTAGCCCTATTTTGCATGTTTCTCGTTGCAGCCATGGTTGAAAATGAATCTGGCTTTACTGATTATCTTGGTGAACCTTGATTACAAGAAGTTGAGTGCTGATGTGAATAGTAGCGAATATAAGAGATTGTGCTTACAGGAATGTGAGTGCAGTGAGCTTGGTGATGTCAGCATGCAGAATGCCAAACAGCTTCTGACTGTCCAGGGTGCTGTGGGGAGGCGGGGATGGGAGGGGGCCAGAGAGGCAGTAAGGAGGGAAGGTGGGAGCACAAGTAGACAGTGGAGTGAGTTAAGTGAGGCCGGCCATACTGGAGCAGAATGGGGAAACGAATGGGGGATTTGAAACAGAAACAAATACACAAGACAAGAGCACAGAGGCGATTTGTTCTCCACGGAGAGGATTCCCTTTCTTCCGTCTGACCCGCCTAAAGCCCCCGTAACAGCCACCCAGGGAAGGCCCCCACTAGTGCTTGGTGCTCACATCTTGACGGGCTGGCCCGCACTGTTGCACTCGACGCCGGTGAAGCCGCCGAGGGCCGTGCCGGCAGCCGTGCAGGTGGAGGTGGTGGCCCAGTCCGTGTAGGTCAGCCCCAGCGCCATCTTGATGTTCATCAGCGCGCCCACTGGTGGCAGGGGGCGGTGGGACACACGGGCAGGAGAGATGAGAGGCATGGGCATGAACATGGGCATCAGACGTGAGACTCACGGTGGCAGCAGCACGACGCCTAGCCGCAGCCATACCTGCGGTGGCGTTGGTGGCGACGGGCTGTGGGGGAGGGCAGGTGATGGCGAGTTGGGGACTTCCGCTGGTCTGGCGATTGGTGGCGGCCCTCACGGCCGCGGGGTCGGGCTGGCACGTGGTGGTGCCGCCACACAGCGTGCCGTTGGCATTGGTGGTGCCGCAGACGGCGCAGGAGTAGCGCTGGATGATGTTGCCGTTGCCGCACGGCGTGGGGTCGATGAAGCAGTTCTGGCGCACGGTGCAGAAGTCCCACGTGGCCGTGGTGGTGGCGGCCGTGGGGAAGGTGTAGGTGAGCCAGTTGTACTCCAGGTCCAGCGTCCTCAGCTTCGGTGGCATGTCCGGCACCGTGCCCGTCAAGTAGTTCCACCCCAGGCTCCTGCGGGTCGCACACGCACACGCACACGCGCAGGGGGAAAGGGGTGGGCGATGGCGCATGGCAAGGTGTGGCACGGCATGCAGAGCAGATAGTGCATGGAATCTAACAAGGGTGGTCGTGGGGTGAGGCAGTGCAGGGGGCTGCGAGCATGGGGTGGCAGGGCAGGGGGCAGAGGGCAGGGGCTCACAGCAGCATGAGGTTCTTGATGGCGGAGATGGAGGCGGGGATGGAGCCCGAGAAGAAGTTGTAGTTCATGATGCTGCGGCACGCGCGCACACATAGGAGGGTGCGGGGGGGAGGAGGGCAGGTCCCACACGGCAGGTTAGAGCGGAGGAGGGACAGGCAGGAAAAAGGCACCAAGAGCGGCCAAGGTACAAACAAGGAATGCAAGAGAGTGCGGGAGAAGAGAGGACGGGGGGGTGGGGGGAGGCGTACAGGATCTTCATGCCGGTGAGGCCAGTGAGCGGCGTGATAAAGGGGTCCAAGCGCCCCGACAGGAAGTTGCCCGACAGGTCGCTGCAGAGGGGGGTTGGGAAGGAGAGGGGGGGAGGGGAGGCATGAGAAGACGGGAGAGCAGGAGGGCGAGCCGTTGTGGAGGGCGATCGGAAAGAGCAGCAGAGTGTGGCGAGCAGCGGAGTGTGAAGCTGAGGAGAGTGTGGCGAGCAGCAGCAGCAGGGCACTGACAGGGCGGTGAGGCCGGTGAACTTGGAGATGTCGGGGGGCATGACGCCGCGCATGAGGCGCCACTTGAGGAAGAGGTCGATGACCTTGCCCTGCCAGTTGCAGTACACCGCCGGCATGTCCTCCGGGCCCTTGGGGATGCCCGACACCGTACACATCGTCTGCTCGCCCCACCCCGGGTGCGGCACTCCCAGCGCCGTCTTGAGGGTCGCCAGGATTGGCACTACAGGGAGGGCGGCAAGTAGGGGGAAAAGCAGAGGGGCAAGCAGGGGTGCAAGCAGGGGGGACACACAGCGGTGATATAACCGGAAAGAGGGGAGGGTGGAGCACCAAAGACCGCCGAGGGCATGGCAAGTGGGGCGAGGAGTGAGGATGCGAGCAGCAGAGGAGCAGACACATGGAGCAGACACATGGAGCAGGCACATGGAGCAGTCACATGGAGCAGTCACATGGAGCAGGCACATGGAGCAGGCACATGGAGCAGGCACATGGAGCAGGCACATGGAGCAGGCACATGGAGCAGTCACATGGAGCAGGCACATGGAGCAGTCACATGGAGCAGTCACATGGAGCAGGCACATGGAGCAGGCACATGGAGCAGGCACATGGAGCAGGCACATGGAGCAGGCACATGGAGCAGTCACATGGAGCAGTCACATGGAGCAGGCACATGGAGCAGTCACATGGAGCAGTCACATGGAGCAGGCACATGGAGCAGGCACATGGAGCAGGCACATGGAGCAGGCACATGGAGGAGGCGCGGAACTCACGAGCTGCGGGGTCGATTCGAACTCCAGTGCAGCGCATGGGCAGCACGCCAGCGGTGGCGCTGTTGGGCGTCTTGGAGGCGAGCGGGCCGTCCGTGTTGGGCGAGCACACGCCCCCACCGCACAGCACATAGGCGGCGTCGCCATTGCAGATGGTGCAGGAAGCGCGCTGCACGGAGGAGCCCGACGAGACGCAGTTGGCGGCGCTGCTTAGGCAGTTGTTGCGCGCGTCACACATGGTGGTGGAGGACGCAGGGAAGGGGCCCGCCAGGAAGTTGGAGGCGACGTTGATGGTCTTGAGGGTTGCTGCTATGGGGGCCAGGTAGCCGGTGAGGTAGTTGTAGTGCACGTTGCTGCAGGCGGGACGGAAGGCGGCAGAGTGGTGGGGGCGGTGGAAGAGAAGGGAGAATGGTGGGAATGGTGGTCGGAGAGGGTGGGGTGTGAGGCGTTGGGTGGGTGGTGAGAGTACAAACGCAAAGACCAAACGCACACACACCATGGGATGTCATGTGTGCGCATGCAAGCAACGGGTGTGTCGGTCTGTGTGTGTGTGTGTGTGTGTGCGCGCGCGCGCGCGCGCACGCGTGTGTGTGTGTGCGCCACTTACAGGGTTGTGAGGGTCGAGAGAGAGAGCAGATAGGCTGGCAGAGTGCCGGAAAACCAGTTGTAGTTGAGAGCGCTGTTTGGGAGGGGTGGAGAAGGGCGAGATGGAAAAGTGAGGGATGGAGATGTGGAGGGTGGAGAAGGTGGAGACGGGTGGCAAGGCAATGCGAGCATAAGGAAAGTGAGAGTAAGTCAGGGCGGGCAGGGCAGAGCCGGGAGGGCAAGGCAGGCAAGGCAGGCAAGGCAGGGCAGGGCAGGCAAGGCAGGGCAGGCAAGGCAGGGCAGGGCAGGCAAAGCAGGGCAGGGCAGGCAAGGCAGGGAAGGGAGGGCAGGGAGGGCAGGGAGGGCAGGCAGGGCAGGGAGGGCAGGGAGGGCAGGGAGGGCAGGGCAGGCAAGGAAGGGCAGGGCAGGGTAGGCAAGGCAGGGAAGGGAGGGCAGGGAGGGCACTGACAGGTGCTTGAGCGACTTGACGGTGGTGAGCATGGTGCCCCACTCGGCCAGGCGCCCCTCCAACAGGTTGGACGCCAGGTTGCTGCCATCGCCGGGGGGATACGGAGGGGTGGGGGGGGAGTGGTGGGATGGATGGATGACTGCATATGAGTAAGGCACTCACACGAATGAGTATGACGCTCACATGAATGAGTATGACGCTCACATGAATGAGTATGACGCTCACATGAATGAGTATGACGCTCACACGAATGAGTATGACGCTCACACGAATGAGTATGACGCTCACACGAATGAGTATGACGCTCACATGAATGACTATGACGCTCACATGAATGAGTATGACGCTCACATGAATGAGTATGACACTCACATGAATGAGTATGACGCTCACATGAATGACTATGAGGCATTTTGCTTGGAAAGAAAAAGATGGTGGGCCGAGGTTGGTGGTGTGGCAGAGCAGTGGGAGGGGCGCTCACATCTTGGTGAGAGCCGTCAGCTTCGTCAAGTCGGCAGGCAGGCTCCCTCTGAGACCCATGTTGACCAGATCACTGGGGTGACGCCACCATGCCACCCGCAAGCAAAACACAGGAATGAGATGAGTCAGCAACTTGAAGCAGAAAAATGAAGGAGACGGGAGAGAAGAAAGAGGAAAAGAAATAAACGAAAAGGAGACAGGAGAGAAATAAAGAAGTGTTCAATCCTGCAGCTTTCTTATTTTCCGCGAACATCCCGTGCAGAACATGTCACGGGCACCAAGGGCGTGAAGGAGACGAAGGGTACCAAGGGCACCAAGGGCGTGAAGGGCAGCAAGGGCGTGAAGGGCGTGTGGCACTCACAGCTGTACGACTTGGCCGGCGACATCACAGCCAACGCCCGCCCAGCTGCCCGGCATGGGGGTGTTGCCCACCACGTCGCACGGCGAGTCCAGCAGCCACGTGCTCTGCGACACTCCCAGCGCCGCCCTCAGCACCAGCAGTGTTTGCGCTGTCGCCACATGCCCACGGGGAAGGCGGGCGGTTGGAAAGGGAGGTGGGGAAGGAATGGGATTGGAGTGGAGGCAGAGAGAGGGTGGTGAGGAAAAAATCTAGGCGACAAGAGGTATGATGCACAGCACAGTGTGGCATGTCACGCATGTGTGAGTGTGCATATCACGCAAGTGTGCACATGTGAAGCATGCAGGCAGCGGGCATGGGCGCACCAGCAGTGGCGTCTATAGCGGGGCGGCCGCAGTAGAAGGGCAGCAGGGGCGCCGTGAGGTTGTTCACCGTGCCGGCTGCCAGGGCGTCTGTGGCGTTGAGAACGCAGGGGGCGCCGTTACACAGCGGCGGCACGGCATTGGTGGTGCCACAGATGGCACAGCCGGTGGTGCGCTGGGGGATGCCAAAGAGGCTCAAGCAGTTGTTGCGGAAGTCGGAGTACTTGTAGGCCTGTGGCGTGATGGGGCCCGCAAGAAAGTTGTTGGCCACGGTAATGGCCTGCACCTTGGTTGACACGCTCGGCAGCACACCCGTAAAGTAGTTGCCACTCAGCCCTCTGCACGGGCAGCACGGGCGATGCATGGTATGTGAATAGAGATCCTGGATGGATATTCTGATGGATGGAACAACCACTGACATACAGATGCAGAAAGGAGGGTAAAGCTCCAGCAGCATCCACTCCAGGAGCTTAAGTCCTGTCGGGCCTTCCCTATGCTTATCAGCGCATCCACACCAAGGGCGCTAGAAAGAGAGGAGTCCCACACCTCACTGACAGCACTCCCCCACGCCTCACTGACAGCACTCCCCCACACCTCACTGACTGCACTCCCCCACGCCTCACCAGCAGCGGAGCCAATGGCCGTTACGGCCCTAGAGGCTACCGCGTCTAGGAGCGTGCGCAGTGTGCATAATAAACCTCACAAACGCACTGGGTGGAGGTGGGTATCCCGGTCTAGGTGCTAGCGGTGTGGTTACAGGAAAACTGACATTTCGGTGAGGGATGGCATGTTGAGAAGAGCGAAGGGTATGCTGTCGTAGAGGTAGTTGAAGCTCAGGTTCCTGGTGGACAAGGTTGCATGCAGAGGGGGGCAAGGTTGCATGCAGAGGGGGGCAAGGTTGCATGCAGAGGGGGGCAAGGTTGCATGCAGAGGGGAGCCCGTGGGCGCACGATTGAATTGTCATCAATGGCGGTGGCAAGCAGGGCAGGGGAAAGGGGAGGACAGCGAGGGCAGAGCAGAATGAAGCAGCGACAGCAGAGCATGTGAGAGGGAGGTGCGCGTATGGCATGTCAAAAGGAGGTGGCAGATGGGGCGAGGGAGGGAGGCGAGGGCAGGGCACGCACAGGACGACAATAGTGGTGAGCGGGGTGATGCTGGAGACAAAGGTGGCGAGGCGGCCATACAGCAGATTATAACCCAGGTGCCTGCAGGGGGGGAGGGAGTGGGGGGAGATGTAGGGAAAATGGGGGGGAGAATGGTAGGATTATAGGGGGAAGGGGCGAGAACCTAAGGAAATGGGGGCGAAAAGGGGGAGAATGCAAATATAGGTCGGTGATGCACTCACAGGTGGGTGATGCACTCACAGGTGGGTGATGCACTCACAGGTGGGTGATGCACTCACAGGTGGGTGATGCACATACAGGTAGGTGAGGCTGGTGAGTTTGGTCATGTCTGCATGTATGGTGCCCCGCAGCTTCAGGTTGTTCAGCTTGCTGCCATGGCAGCACGCACAGCGGAGGGGTGAGAGGGACGGCAGAAGAGAGGCATGAGAGGAGAGACGATGCTTTGGGACAGTGCGGCCAACTTGGGGGTGAGGGATTGCAGAACGAGAGCGAGAGAGCCAGGGGGGCATGTTGGTTCCAGTACAGGGATAACATGGAAGGTACGGAAGCATCATACCAACATACTGCCTTGGGGGTGAGGGTGAGAGAGCCATACATGGGCGTCCTCCCCTCCATTCCTCTTCATGTCCCAGCAGCCTCATATATGGGCTGTTGACGTTCTCCCAGCCGCCTCAACGTCCTGAGACGAGCGCCCAGTCGATAAAAGCAGGCAAGAGAGCGCAAAGAGGGGGTGAAAGTGGGGGGGGCTCACAGGGAGACGACGGCGCCGCTGCCGCTGCACCAGACACCCGGGAAGGACTTGGGGGCGATGGTCTGCCCAATGATGTTGCAGGTGCTGCTGGCAGTCCAGTCCGTGTGCGTCACTCCCAGCGCCGCCCCGATGTTGAGCAGCACGGCCGCTGCTCATGGGGCGCATGCAGGGGGACAGCACGTGGAGACAGGGGTGAGCGTCCGTGCACACACGTCCATGAAAGCACGTATCGTGAATGCATGTGGGCAGCAGGGAAGGGAAGGCAGCAGGCAGCATGGCACACTGCAGGCGCTAGAGTGGGCTGGTGCCGGGTGTGCTGTGGAGCGCACGGCATGGGTATGGTATGCGGGCACTCACAGGACGTGGCATCAAGGGCCAAGGGGGGGCACTTGAGGGCGAGGGTGGGCGCGCTGGCACTGTTGGCCACTTTGCCCGCCACATACGCGGAGGGGTCGGGCGTGCACACGGCCCCGCCACACATCGGCAGCTGCCCGTTGGACGACCCACACACGTTGCACCCGGCGCCTCTCTGCAAGGTGCCGTCGAAGTTGACGCAGGCAGATGCATTGAGGAAGCAGTTGCCGCGCACGGTGCAGTAGCCCAGAGAGGCGGCGGGGAAGGTGCCCGAGAGGAAGTTGAACTCCGTGTCGAGCGCCTTGAGTGTGGCCGCAGGCTTGGGCAGCGTGCCCGTGAGGTAGTTTCTGCTCAGCGCGCTGGCGAGTTGCACGCACAGCACAGGAAACAAGGGCTGCGCGTTAGGAACGAATGGGTGCAGCTCGAAGCGGTATGATGGACGGGGGGGAAATGTGAGAGGTGGGGCAGTGAAGTAGTTGGAGAAGAGGAGTTGAGTGAAGGAGGGTGTGCGGCGAGGGCTTTACAGAGCGGAGAGGGCAGCCATGTTGACGAGCGTGGTGGGGACGGTGCCATAGAACCAGTTGAAGTTGATAAAACTGTTGGGGAGAGGGGTGAGGGAGCACGTACACACACACACATGCATATAAGCACATATGCACACATTCACACACCATGCACACACACATGCACGCATGCACGATCGCGCAGAGGGCCGAAGTGAAGGAGCACAAGAGCAGAAAAAACGGAGACGTGCGAAGAGGCAATCAGAGAGAGGGTGGGGGGAAGAAGGTGGGGGGGTTGGATTTAGGGGCGTGGTTGCACTGACAGCTCCTTGAGGCTGGCTGCGGCCGTGATGGGCACGATGTAGGAGTCGAGGCGGTTGAAGAAGAGGTTGGACGACAGCCGCCTGCACACAGGACCAGGGGTGGCGGAGGGAGGGGGGATAATGTGGGTGGCAAAAGGGTGAAACAACGTGGAAAGATGATGAAGGGGTGCGAGAGAGAGGGCGGGCTTGTGATGCCATGTTGAGGCTGCGAGAGTGGCTGCTGCGAGCAGCACAGCCAATGGCATAAGATGTGGGCGGGGTACCACACAGGCTGCCGCTGCCCTCACATTGCTGACACGGCTCACAGAGAGTGAAGGGATGGCTTACAGCGAGGTGAGGGTGGTGAGCTTGCTGATGTCCGAGTGCACTGTGCCACCCAGTTGCTGGCCCTGCAGCTCACTGCACAGCGGGTTTCAGGGAGAAGCAGGGGCAGGAAGGGGCAGGGGAAACAGGTGAGTGAGAGGCGGCAGGAGAAGCACCCGCGGCGCACAGGCAGAGCGGGGTGGGGGAGGGAAGGTCAGCAGGACCGGCGCAGCACTCACAGGGCGACGACTTGGCCGAGCGGAGAGCAGCGCACGCCAGTCCACGCCCCAGCAATGGGTGTCTGGCCCTGGATGGTGCACGACCCCACCAGCTTCCAGTCATACTGCATCATCGACCCCCTCCCTTGCAGCACGCGCCGCTTCCCCCCCGACTTGGGCTTCTTGCCGGTCTTGGTCTTAGGGGAGGTGGCCTTGGGGGCGGCGAGCGTGGCGGCGGTCCAATCAGAGAAGGTGGCGCCCAGCGTGGTCTTGAGTGCCAGCAGGATGTTGCCCTGCGTGGCGTCCAGCGCCACGCCCACGCAGAAGCGCGGTCGCGGAGCGTAGTTAGGGCCGTTTGGGTATATGTTGATTGTGTTGGGCACACACGTGCCGCCGCCGCAGATGGTGCCCGTGCCGTCCGGCGAGTCGCACACGGCGCACTCAGTAGTGGCGTTGCGCTGCACCGTGCCTCCCGTGGTGCAGGCGCCAATGCTGGCGAAGCAGTTCTTGGTGGCGGAGCAGGAGGAGAAGCCGGCGCCGGGGAAGGTGCCCGACAGCCAGTTGCCGTCCACAGCGAGCGTCTTGAGTGCGGGGGCCAGAGGGGGCACGGCACCGTACAGGTAGTTCCACCTCGCCCCACTACGGTGAGAGGGGGAAAAGAGAGGGAGGAGAGGATGGGCGGGAGGTGTGAGTGTGGAGCATTTGAGTGGACCGGAGAAGCCTTAGAGAAGGAGCGGCACGGCTCCGAGCAGCGACACACAGGCAGTGGTGTGAGAGGGATGAGGCAGAAGCATGGACGGTACCTGCGTGAGGTCAAACTGGTTAAAGAGTTGGGATGTGGGCGTGAGGTGGAGGCGGCAAGTGTCATATTATCATCTTCATTGTAACCTGCATCTATCCTATAAGCTTCGGCTCGAGATAGGCACCCAAACTTAGTTTGGGTGCACAACTAGGGTTAACCCTAGTTTGAGGTTGGAACCCAATCTTGGCCCAATTATTGGGTCCCAAGGTTGGGTTGGGAGATTATTGGACCGCTCAATAATGTTGACCCACTTTGGTCAACATTATTGGTTCCCCCAATAACTCCCCAACCCAACTTATTGGTGGGGGCCAATTATGTTGGCAATATTACCTCCCATTCTAGCTCAACTATGTATACCCGCATGTTTCTCTTAATGCAACCATCAGTTCTTCTTCAAACTTTGTCACAGCAAGGCAGAGAAACTCTGAAAGAGGAGGGAGTGACAAGGGGCGGTGATACTCACAAGGTGGAGAGGGAGGCCATGGCCACGAGGGCGGAGGGGATGGGCCCCGAGAAGTAGTTGTAGTCAAAGTAGCTGCAGGGGCACACGGAGGAGAGGCCGGAAGGGGGTATGGGAGTGGGTGGGTGGGTGGAGAAGCATGGGAGTGGTGAGATTGTGAGACGGCACGAGGAGGTGACACGGCGATGCTACAACAGCAGCTTCTTTCGAGGCAAGCCCGTGCAGTGAAGTGGTCCCATGGAGCTGCCACTCAAGCACGTGCAGTGCAGCGCGATGCGGCGCGGTGCGGTGCAGTGGTCGCATCTCATCCGAGGCAGGCGGCACTCACACTTCCTTGAGCGCCGTGAGCGCCTTGAAGTTGGTGGTGAAGACGTCCAGACGACCCTCCAGGTAGTTGGTGCGCACATTGCTGCGAGGGATGCAGGGGGCCCAGGCACAGAGGAGAGCAGAGAGACGCAGGCGTGAGATGGAAGGTGAAGCAAGGAATGAGGAAGAAAGGTGAAAGCGCAGATGAAGTGAGAGGGACAACGGACACAGGAGGGGACGGATGGAAGCATGCAGCGAGCATATGCACACATGCATGGAAGCATTTGCACATGGAAAAGTGACTAGTGGGGAGGACAGCAGGTGGGGTGGGGGGGCAGCATGTCGATCGGAGCAGGCAGAGCAAGTAGGCATGCGACGGGGAGAGCGAGGAGAGGGGTGAGAGCAAGAGGAGGTGGGGTAGTGGGAAGAGCCATGGCTGCTGCAGCTTGGGGGCCTGCTGGAGCTTGGGGGCCTGCTGCATAGCCTGGATGAGGGGTAGAGGGGACCGGATGGCGGATGAGTAGCATGAGATCTAGAACAGGCTGTTAGGCACAGACATCGTCTGCCTGCTTGCGTCCTGAAGATCCGCCTGCTTGTACCTGCTGTGGAATCAATATAAGGGACCGTTAGGGAAGAGAGGAGAAAGGGGTATGATGAGAGGGATGTGATTTACATGATCACATGCACGTGTGGGCTTACATGTAGGTGAGGGAAGTGAGCTTGGAGATGTCCGCATGCATGGTCCCTCGAACATACTGCTGCGCCAGATTGCTGCACAATGAGTAACCGCCACACAGACACAACACAATCACACACACAAGGCACACACAGAAGCACATGCACGAAAGACAGAGTCTAGCTGACAAGGATCTCAGAGAATGACAGCAGCCCATGAGGAGTGGCACATGAACGGAGGTGCAGTGCGGGTTCAGAGGCACTCACAGCGAGATGAATTTGCCCCAAAAGGCACTCAAAGCGATATGACTTCGCCTGGGGAGGACAGTGCGGGTGCAGTGCGGGTTCAAAAGGCACTCACAGCGCGACGACTTTGCCGTTGGGGCTGCAGAGGACGTTGGACCAGGCGCCTGGCAGCGGCGGCACCCCCTGCATGGTGCAGGGCGCGCCCAGCGCCCAGTTGGTGAACGCCAGCCCCATCGACGCCTTCACGTTCAGCAGCGCCGCCGCTGCGAGTAGCAAGGAGGGGAGCAAGGGGAGGGGGTGAGGGGAGGAAAGGTAGGGGAGGGACAGAGAGGCAGCAGTCTGTGAACGTCACCCCCAGCGATGCCCTCACGTTCGGCAGCGCCGCTGCTGGGTGAGGGGAAAGGGGGGAGGAGAGGGGGGGGGGGTGAGAGGGGGGGAAGGTTAAAAAGTGTAGAGTGGGAAATGGATGGCGTCGAACAAGGTAAGGATGCGGGGGGGAAGGGACAGAGAAGGGAACGGACACAGCACAAGTGGTGAGAAAGTAAGAGCTGCATGGCTGTGCGGGCACACGATTGGTGATGTACCAATGCATGCGCCCCTGCGTATTTCTCGAGACAACTCAAAAGCCATAATGCAAGGGCCACACGCACTGCCTGCTCCCCGCACTGCACAATCCTCCCCCCCAGCACACTGACCCATGGCAGGATCCATGGAGGAGCCAACGCAGAAGAGCGCGGCGGTGCCATTGTTGACAGTGGTGGCGGCGGTGGGCGTGCAGATGCCGCCGTTGCACATGCTGCCCGTGGCGTCGGGCGTCTCACAGATGGCACAGGCGCCTGCAGCGCGCTGAGCAGAGCCGGCGGGGCACTTGGAGGCGTCCTGCAGGCAGTTGCTGGCGCAGGAGACGGAGGTGGCGGTGGTGGTGGGGAAGGTGCCCACCAGGTAGTTGCTCGACAGGTCGATCACCTTGAGGGTCCCTGGCAGCGCTGCCGGCATGCTGCCTGTCAGGTAGTTCAGGTTCAGCCGCCTGCATTGCACGCCCCAGTGGTCGACAGCGGTGGATAGTGGTGCACAGGGATTGAAGGGCACGGGAGAGGGGCCGGGAAAATGGAGGGAAAGGCAAGAGGGAGAGAAGAATGGGAGACGCAAAAGGAGTTAGTGCGAACCGGCAAGGTGATGAGCGGTGAGGCATGGTGATGAGTTGCAATGTAACTAACATGGCAGGTAAGGAAGGATGTTTGAGGAGAGAGAGGGGGCAGGGAGGTAACGAGCTTACAGCTCCGTGAGCGCAGTGAGGGCGGAGATGCCGGTCGGGAAGGAGCCCGAGAAGTAGTTCTGGTGGAGGCGGCTGCACGCATGGGCGCAGCACACAGGGGGGTGACGTGATGTGAGTTGGGGCAGAGAGGGAGGGTGAAGGGAGTGCAGGCAGAGAGACAGCACGCAAATGGCAAAAGAGCGGGCACGAAACTCTCATGGGGCTGGGGGAGTAGCTTACAGGGAGTTGAGAGTCTTGAGGGCGAGGAAGGGCGCGAGGAAGGAGTCAAGGCGGCCAGAGAAGAGGTTGGCCGACAGGTCCCTGCCAGCCACGGTGGGCACAGCGCAGCGCAGCGCACACACACGGCACACACGTGCTTGGTGGAATGTATTGGCATTGCAAGGAGTGCAAGGCATGAGCTGGAATGTGAGGGGCATGCAGTGGCGTGTGAGGGGCATGCAGAGGCGTGTGAGGGGCATGCAGTGGCGTGTGAGGGGCATGCAGTGGCGTGTGAGGGGCATGCAGTGGCATGTGAGGGGCATGCAGTGGCAGTGAGAGGAGAGCTTACAGCTTGGTAAGCGCGGAGAGCTTTGACACGTGGCTGGGGAAGGAGCCCGAGGCCTTGCCGCCCGTGAGAACACTGTGAGACGCCACGTGGTACACACAGTCAAATGCCACATGGCAGGCACACAGGCATGAGAAGTCCGTTAAGCGAACACGAATGATGGCACCACACGGTGCATGGCACATGCATGAGCACAGTATGGCCTCATGAGTGCACCCTGCTTCATGGCAGCATGCGTGGCGCATGCAGGATGGCGCATCGCATGCAGGATGACGCATGCAAGACAACGCATGCACCCGCATCACAGGCATGAAATGGAGGTGCAAAAGGGGGCGGGTTGGGCCGCAGAGAGGGGCGGGGCGAGCAGGCGGGTGTACATTTCGAGGACGAGCCCGGCAGGGTTGCAGTAGACGGAGGGGGAGGTGCCGGCGGCGGTGGGCTGCCCTGCCAACGTGCACGTGGTCTGCGCCCCCCACTGCCCCGGCGTCATGGCCACCAGCGCAGATGCTGCCACGGATGCGCAAGGGGGGGAGGGGAGGGGAGGGAGGAGTGTGCATGAGGGCGTGGTTCAGGCTCAATCGGGATGCTCTCAAGAGGGAGGTCTGCGAATGACCCGTGCAGAGGCAAGGGAGAGAACGGAGCGAATGCCAGCGAATAACAGCCCGGGGCCCTTGACCCTTGCGTTGCACCTTTTTCTGCCAACGTCCCTTCACCTCTTGCGCTCTTCATCCCCCCAGCCCGGAGCCTTGTAGCCGGAACGTCTTCCCAGGAAGGCCGGCGTGCATTGTGTGCAGTGCAGGGGGGGGGGGGGAGAGGGTGGGCGCACCTTGGGTGGCCTGGATGGGTACAGGGTCGCAGCGCATGGCGGGGGCGGGGCTCCACTTGTTGATGGCTGTGATGGGCGATGGCGTCGCAGGCACACACGGGTTGCCCATGCACGCCGTGCCCAGGCCGTCTGTCATGCCGCAGATCTGGCAGCTGGCGCTGGGGTTGGGCGCGTTGGGGTTGAGCGAGTTGCAGGTGGTGTAGGTGGGGATGCAGTTGTAGTAGGCCGTGCAGTAGGTGGCGCTGTTGGCCGGGAAGGTGCCTCCCAGGAAGTTCTGGTCCACCATGAGACGTTTGAGTGCGGTGGAGATGGGTGCCGGGAACGTGCCTGTGAGAGCGTTCACGCTCAGCTCGCTGCATTCGGGGGGAAGAATGGAGGGAGGAGGGGAAGTGGGGGGGGGGAGGGGGGGAAGAGAGAAGGAGAGGGAGGATGAAGGGGGAGAAGGAGAGGTGAAGGAACAAGCAGAAAAGGCACAGGAGCAGGGGCATGGGGAAGGTGTTCACGTAGGGGGCGAAGGCAATGGCGGTGAGGTAAGTGGAGACATGAGCAGGGGCATGGGTTGAATGGGCAGGGCAGTAACAAGTGCGCAAGGGACTGGTGAGATAGGCCTGAGCAGTTAAAAAGACCGGAGAGGGTGGGCCACTGACAGGTTGGTGAGCTTGGCGAAAGAGACGAGCCAGAGGGGCACAGAGCCGTAGAGATAGTTGTTGCTGAGCTTGCTGCACGCGGGGGGGAAGAATGGAGGAGGATGAAGAGGGAGACGAGGACAGAGATGATTGCAAATTAGCAAGGCACTCACAGCAAGAGAAGGTTAACACTCACAGCAAGGGAAGGT